CTCCTCTTCTTCCTCCTCCACCTCCTCCTCCTCTTCCCCGTCTTCCTCCCCTCCTCTTCCTCCCCTCCTCTTCCTCCTCCTCCTCCTCTTCCTTCTCTTCTTCTCCTCGTCTTCTTCCTCTTCTTCCTCCTCTTCCTCCCCCTCCTCTTCCTCCCCCTCTTCTTCCTCCTCTTCCTCTTCTTCTTCCTCCTCCACCTCTTCCTCCCCCTCCTCTTCTTCCTCCTCCTCTTCTTCTTCCTCCTCCTCTTCCTCTTCTTCTTCCTCCTCCTCCTCCTCCTCTTCCTCCCCCTCTTATTCCTCCTCCTCTTCTTCCTCCTCCTCATCTTCCTCCTCTTCTTCCTCCTCCTCTTTTTCCTCCTCCTCCTCCTCTTCCTCCCCCTCCTCTTCTTTCTCCTCCTCTTCTACTCCTCCTCCTCTTCCTCCTCTTCCTCGCCCTCCTCTTCTTCCTCCTCCTCTTCTTTTTCCTCCCCCTCTTCTTCCTCCTCTTCCTCCTCCTCCTCCCCTCTTCTTCCTCCTCCTCTTCCTCTTGTTCTTCCTCCTCCTCCTCCTCTTCCCCGTCTTCCTCCCCCTCTTCTTCCTCCTCCTCTTCTTTCCCCTCCTCCTCTTCCTCCTCTTCTTCTCCTCGCCCTCTTCCTCCCCCTCCTCTTCCTCCTCTTCCTCTTCTTTCTCCTCCTCCTCTTCCTCCTCCTCCTGCCCTCCTCTTCCTCTTCCACTTCTTCCTCTTCCTCGTCTTCCTCCCCTCTTCTTCCTCCTCCACCTCCTCCTCCTCTTCCCCGTCTTCCTCCCCTCCTCTTCCTCCTCTTCTTCTCCTCGCCCTCTTCCTCCCCCTCCTCTTCCTCCTCCTCTTCCTCCTCCACTTCTTCCTCTTCCTCGTCTTCCTCCCCTCTTCTTCCTCCTTCTCCTGCCCTCTTCTTCCTCCTCTTCTTCCTCCTCTTTCTCCCCCTCCTCTTCCTCCTCTTCCACCTCTTCTTCCTCCTCCTCCTCCTCCCCCTCCTCCTCCTCCTCTTCTTCCTCCCCTTCTCCTCTTTCTCTTCCTCCTCCTCTTCCTCTTCTCCTCCTCCTCCTCTTCCTCCTCCTCCTCCTCCCCCCCCATTCCCGGATCCCGGATCTGCCCAGCAACCGCTGACTCATCAGCGCTGCGCGATCTGATTGGCCGATTTCACCCGCGCCCCTCTGTGATTGGCTGATTTTCGCCCCGTTTCTTTCCGGGTGTGGGCAGGGGCAAATTTTCCCGCGGGATGATCCCAAAAAATTCCCAAAATTTGGGAATCGGAATTTTTCCAACCCCTTGGGATGGCTTTGGGAGGTTGGGGTGATCCAAAATATTCCCTAAAATCCGAGAATCCGCTAAAAAAATGGCAGAAATATCCCAAAAAATTCCAGAAAAATCGGCCCAAATAAAAAAAATTCCAGAAAGATCTCCCCAAAAATCCCCCAGAAATCCCAAAAATTTCTAGAAAAATCCCAAATCCCCAAAATCCCCCAAAATTCCAGGAAAATCACCAAAAATCCCTCCCAAAAATCCTCTTTAAAAATCCCAGAAAATTAAGAAAAACCAAAAAAATCCCCCTAAAATGCCAAAAAAATCCCCAAAAATTTGGGAAAATCCCAAACCACCAAAACCCCAAAACATCCCAGAAAATTCCCCCAAAAATCCCCCAAAATTCCCAACAAATCCCAGGATTTGGGGAAATCCCAAATGCCACAACTCCCAAAAATCGGATAAAAATCCTAAAAAAAAAAAAAAACCTAAAAAAACCTCCCCAATAATTCCCAAAAAAAAATCCCAAAACCCCCCAAAAAAATCCCATAAAATCCTCAAACAAATCGCCAAAAAATCCCAGAAAAACTCCCAAAATTTTTTTAAAAAACCCCAAAAATCTCTTCCAAAATGCCCCAAAAACTCCCAAAAAAATCCCCAAAAATGAAAAAAAAATATCCAAAAAACCCCCGAAAATTCCCCAAAAGCTCTCAAAAAATTCCCAAAAAATCCCCCAAAAATCCAAAAAAATTTCCCAAAAAATCCCCAAAATTAAAAAAAAACCGCCCAAAAATCTCCCCCAAAAAATCCCAAAAAATCTGGGAAAAATAAAAAAAAAATCCCCCAAAAATTAAAAAAAACACCCCCCAAAAATTCCCCAAAAACTCTCAAAAAATTCCCCAAAAATCCCAGAAAAACTCCCAAAAAAATCCCCAAATTAAAAAAAAAAAAACCAAAAAATATCCCCCAAAAATCCCCAAAATATCCCGAAAAACTCTGGGAAAAATCCCCAAAAAATCCCCAAAAATTAAAATTAAAAAAAAAAAAACAATTCCCCAAAAACTCTCCAAAAATCCCCCAAAATCCCACAAAAATCCCCCAAAAAATCTGGGAAAAATCCCCCCAAAATTCAAAAAAATTCCCAAAAATATCCCCCAAAAAATCCAAATATTTTCCCAAAAATCCCCAAAAAAACCCCAAATATTCCCAAAAATCCCCAAAATTTCCCCAAATTTTCCCCAAATCCCCAAAAACTCCGGAGCCTTTTTGCAATAATATTTTCTTTATTTACACCTTGCAAGAATTCCAAAGGATTTTTCATTTTTTTGGGATTTTTTTCCAGCTTTTTTTTGGGTTTTTTTCTCTTTTTTTTTGTAGGAAAACAAAAAAAAAAAAAATCCGAACCCGCGAATCCTAAAAGGGCAAAAGGGGGAGGGAAAATGGGGAAAATTTGGGGAAATTTGGGAAAATTTGGGGGAAAATTAGGGGGAAAATTGGGGGGAAATTCAGGAAAAAATCCGGAAAAAAAACTGAGAAAATTTGGTGGAAAATTGAGAAAATAATTGGAGAAAATACGGGAAAAATTGAGAAAAATTGGGAAAAAATTGGGAGAAAATTTGGGAAAAATGGATAAAAATTTGGGGGGAAATTGAGTAAAATCTGGAGAAAATTTGGGAAATTTTGGGGGAAAATTGGGGGAAATTTGGGGAAAATTCAGGAAAAAATCCGTGAAAAAACTCAGAAAATCTGGGGGAAAAAAGGAGAAAATTTGGGGGAAAATTGAGAAAAATTTGGAGAAAATTTGGGAGAAAATCGGGGAAAAATTGTAAAAAATTTGGACAAAAATTTGTGAAATATTCGGCAAAAAATGGGGAAAATTTGGGAAAAAATGGGGAAAATTTTGAGGGAAAATGGAGAAAAATTTGTGAAAACTTTGGACTAAAATTTGTGAAATATTCGGAGAAAATTTGGGGGAAATTAAGGAAAATTTGGGGGAAAAATGTGGGAAAAATTTTAACCAAAATTTCTCTTTTATTTCCTGGAAATTTAAATTTTTATTCCCAAAATTCTTCAATTTTCCCCATTTTTTTCTTGGAATTTTCAATTTCTCCAAAAAATTCCCATTTTCCCCAAGAAAATTTTATTTTATTCCCCAAATTCCTCATTTTCCCCCCATTTTTCTCCCAAAAATTTTGATTTTATGCCCAAATTTCCCATTTCCCCTCCAAAAGTCTTCATTTTTCCCATTTTTTCTCATAATTCTCAATTTTCCCCAAAAAATTCCCATTTTTTTCTACCGGAATTTTCCATTTATTCCCAAAATTCCTCATTTTTTTCCTTCGAATTCTCAAATTCTCCCCAAAAATTCCCATTTTTTCCCCAAATTTTTTACTTTTTTTGGAAATTTTCAGGTTTTTTTCCAGAATTTTTTCTCTTTTTTTCTGGAATTTTTTTTGGGGAATTTTTCCCGGTAATTCCACCAAAAATTTTCTTTTTATTCCACAATTCCCCCTGAAAAATTCCCATTTTTTTCTCTAATTTTGATGCTTTTTTCCACAAACCCCTCCAATTTCTCCCCAAAAATTCTCATTTTCCCCCCAAATTTTTACCCTATTTTGGGAATTTTTCCATTTTTTCCTGAAAATTCTTCATTTTTCTCCAGTTATTTTTTTTTCTGGGAATTTTCTTGGGAATTTTCTCCATGAATTCCACTACCAAATCCAAAATTTTCCCCCCAAAAAATCCCATTTTCCCCCAATTTTTAAGGTTTTTTTCCAGGAATTTTTCCATTTTTTCCGGGATTTTTTTTCTTTTTCCTCACAGGATTTTTTTTCCGGGAATTCCACAATTCTCCATTTTTTTCCCCCAAATTTTTACCTTTTTTCTGGGAATTTTTCAATGTTTTCTGGAATTTTTTTCCAGGAATTTTTTCTGGGAAATTTTTCCAGGAATTCCACAAACTTCCCCTTTATCCCCCACCTTTTTCCCCTCAAAAAATCCCATTTTTCCCCCAATTTTTCTGCTTTTTTTCCAGGATTTTTTCAGTTTTTTTCTGGGAATTTTTCAGTTTTTTCCCAGAATTCTTTTTTTGGGAATTTTTTCCGGGAATTCCACCAACAATTCTCACTTTATTCCAAAATTCCCCCTTTTTTTCCCCCAAAAAAATCCAATTTTCTCCCCAATTTTCTGCTTTTTTCCAGGACTTTTTCAGTTTTTTTCTGGGAAATTTTCAGTTTTTTCCAGGATTTTTTTTCTGGGAATTTTTTCCAGGAATTCCACCAAAATTTCTCTCTTTATTCCACAATTCCTCCCCAAAAAAAAACCATTTTCCCCCAATTTTTCTGCTTTTTTTCCCAGGAATTTTTCAATTTTTTCCAGGTTTTTTTTTCCTTTTTCCTCCTGGGAATTTTTCCAGGGATTTTTCCGGGAATTCTGCCTCAGATCCTCCAACACTTTTCCCCCAAAATTTCCCATTTTTCCCCAATTTTTACCTTTTTTTCGGGATTTTTTTTCAGCTTTCTCTGGGAATTTTTCCGTTTTTTCCAGGATTTTTTTCTGGGAATTTTCTCTGGGAATTTTTCCCGGGAATTCCACCAACAATTCTCACTTTGTTCCGAAATTCCCCCCAAAAAATCCCATTTTTCCCCCAAGTTTTCAGGTTTTTTCCAGGAATTTTTCAGTTTTTTTCCGGGTTTTTTTTTCCTTTTTCCTCCCGGGAATTTTTTCCGGGAGTTTTTCCGGGAATTCAGGCGGAGTCGGAGTCGCTGGTGTCGGAGGAGGAGGAGGAGGAGGAGGAGGAGGAAGAGTCGGAGCTGGAGCTGGAGGCGCTGAGCCGCGACGCCGCCGCCGCCGCCGACTCCGGCTTCTCGTTGGCTGCGGGAAAATTGGGGAAAATTAGGGAAAAATCGGGAAAAAATTGGGGAAAATATTGGGAAAATATGGAGGAAAAATGGGGGGAAAATGGGGGAAAATTTGGGAAAACAATCGGGAAAATACGGAGGAAAAACGGGGGAAAATCGGAGAAAAATCGGGAAAAATTTGGGAAAAAATTGGGAAAATACAGAGGAAAAACGTGGGAAAATCGGAGAAAAATCTGGAAAAATTTGGGAAAAAATTGGGGAAAATATTGGAAAATTTGGGAAAAAAATTGGGGAAAATATTGGGAAAATATGGAGGAAAAACGGAAAATCGGAGAAAAATCGGGAAAAATTTGGGAAAAAATTGGGAAAATACGGAGGAAAAGCGGGGGGAAATCAGAGAAAAATCAGGAAAAATTTGGGAAAAAATTGGGGAAAATATTGGAAAATTTGGAGAAAAATCGGGGAAAATATTGGGAAAATATGGAGGAAAATCGGAGAAAAATTAGGAAAAAATTGGGGAAAATATTGGGGAAAATACTCGGAAAATATGGAGGAAAATTGGAGAAATATCGGGAAAAATTTGGGAAAAAATTGGGAAAAATATTGGGGAAAATACTTGGAAAATATGGAGGAAAATTGGAGAAAAATCGGGGAAAATTTGGGAAAAAATTGGGGAAAATACTCGGAAAATATGGATAAAAATTGGAGAAAGATTGGGAAAAATTTGGGAAAAAATTGGGGAAATATTGGGAAAATATGGGGGAAAATCGGAGAAAAATCAGGAAAAAATTGGGAAAAAATTGGGGAAAAATTGGGGAAAATATGGGGAAAACATGGGGGAAAATCGGAGAAATATCGGGAAAAATTTGGGAAAAAATTGGGGAAAATACTCAGAAAATATGGAGGAAAAACAGGAAAAAAATAGGGAAAAATTTGGGAAAAAATTGGGGAAAATATGGGGGAAAATTGGGGAAAACAATGGGGAAAATATTGGGAAAATATGGAGGAAAATCGGAGTAAAATCAGGAAAAAATTGGGGTAAATATGGAGGAAAAACAGAAAATCGGAGAAAAATTGAGAGAAATTTGGGAAAAAATTGGGGAAAATATTGGAAAATTTGGAGAAAAGTTGGGGAAAATTTGGGAAAAAATTGGGAAAAATATTGGGAAAATATGGAGGAAAAATGGGGGAAAAATGGGGGAAAATTTGGGAAAAAATTGGGGAAAATATTGGAAAATTCGGAGAAACATCGGGGAAAATTTGGGAAAAAATTGGGGAAAATACTTGGAAAATATGGAGGAAAAACAGGAAAAAAATAGGGAAAAATTTGGGAAAATATTGGGGAAAATAGTGGGAAAATATGGAGGAAAAACGGGGGGAAAATGGGCGAAAATTTGGGAAAACAATGGGGAAAATATGGAGGAAAATCGGAGAAAAATCGGGAAAAATTTGGGGAAAATATTGGGGAAAATACTCGGAAAATATGGATAAAAATTGGAGAAATATCGGGAAAAATTTGGGAAAAAATTGGGGAAAATATTAGAAAATTTGGAGAAAAATCAGGGAAAATTTGGGAAAAAATTTGGGGAAAATATTGGGAAAATATGGAGGAAAATCGGAGAGAAATCAGGAAAAAATTGGGGAAAATATTGGGAAAATATGGAGGAAAAACGGGGGAAAAATGGGGAAAAATTTGGGAAAACAATGGGGAAAATATTGGGAAAATACGGAGGAAAAATGGGGGAAATTGGAGAAAAATTGGGAAAAATTTGGGAAAAAACTGGGGAAAATATTGGAAAATTTGGAGAAAATCGGGGAAAATTTTGGGAAAAAATTGGGGAAAATATTGGGAAAATACGGAGGAAAAACGGGGGAAAAATTGGGGAAAATATTGGGAAAATATGGAGGAAAATCGGAGTAAAATCAGGAAAAAAATTGGGGAAAATATTGGGAAATTTGGAGGAAAAATGTGGGAAAATTGAAGAAAAATCGGGAAAATTTTGGGAAAATATGGAGGAAAAACGGGGGGAAATCGGAGAAAAATCGGGAAAAATTTGGGAAAATATTGGGAAAATACGGAGGAAAAACGGGGGAAAATCAGGGAAAAATAGGGAAAAATTTGGGAAAAAATTGGGGAAAATATTGGAAAATTTGGAGAAAAATCGGGGAAAATTTGGGAAAAAAATTGGGGAAAATATTGGGAAATATGGAGGAAAAACGGAAAATCGGAGAAAAATCGGGAAAAATTTTGGAAAAAATTGGGGAAAATATGGGAAAACTTGGAGAAAAATCGGGGAAAATTTGGAAAAAAAATTGGGGAAAATATGGAGGAAAACCGGGGGAAAATTGGAGAAAAATCGGGAAAAATTTGGGAAAATATTGGGAAAATACGGAGGAAAAATGGGGGGACATTGGAGAAAAATTGGGAAAAAATTGGGGAAAAATTGGGGAAAATATTGGACAATTTGGAGAAAAATCGGGGAAAATTTGGGAAAAAAATTGGGGAAAATATGGAGGAAAAATGGGGGAAAAATGGGGGGAAATTTGGGAAAACAATGGGGAAAATATTGGGAAAATATGGAGGAAAATCGGAGAAAAATCAGGAAAAAATTGGGGAAAATATTGGGAAAATACGGAGGAAAAATGGGGGAAAAATGGGGGAAAATTTGGGAAAAATTGGGAAAATACGGAGAAAAAACGGGGGGAAATCGGAGAAAAATCGGGGAAAATTTGGGAAAATATTGAGGAAAAACGGAAAATCAGAGAAAAATCGGGAAAAATTTGGGAAAAAATTGGGGAAAATACTCGGAAAATATGAAGGAAAAACAGGAAAAAAAATCGGGAAAAAATCGGGAAAAAATTGGGGAAAATTGGGGAAAATAAGGGAAAAATTCAGGGAGAAACTGGGGAAAATTTGGGAAAAAATCAGAAAAAAAAAAAATTCCTTTTTTTTTTCCTGGAAATTCAGTTCCCCATCCCACCCAACATCCCCAATGTCAAATCCCAATCCCAGAGAATTCCCAAAATTCCCAAATTTCCCAGTCCTGACCCTTTTTTGGGGGTTTTTTGGCCGAGTTGAGCTGCCCGCTGACGTCCTGGAGCCGCTTCTCCAATTCCCGTTTTTTCTCCAGCGCCAGCTCCTCTTTCGTCTTCCCCACCGGCTTCTTCAGGGCTGCAAAATCAGGAAAAATGGGAAAAATTGGGAAAAAATCAAGGGAAAATTGGAAAAAAATTGGGGGGGAATTGGGAAAAAAAATGGGAAAAAACGGAGGGAAATCGGGGAAAAAATCAGGGAAAAATGGGGGGAAATTGGTGGAAAATTTTGGGAATAATTTGAGAAAAGTTGGGGGAAAACTGAGAAAAATTGGGGGGAAAATTAGGAAAAAAATTGGGGAAAAGTTGGGGAAAAATTCAGGGAAAATTGGGGAGAAATTGGGGGAAAATTGGGGAGAAATTGGGGGAAAATTGGGGGAAAGTCAGGAAAAAATGGGGGAAAATTGGGAAAAATGGAGGAGAATTGGGGAAAATTGGAAAAAAATTGGCAAAAAATTGGGGAAAATTGGGGGGAATTTGGGGAAAAGTTGGGGAAAAATTGGAAAAAATGGGGGAAAATTGGGGAAATTATGGGGAAATTGGGGGGAAAATTGAGGGGAAAAATGGCAGAAAAATCTCAAAAAAATGCCAAAAAATCCCAAAAAATTCCCCAAAAAATCCTAGAAAAATGGCAAAAAATCCCCAAAACATCCCAAAAAAATCCCTAAAAAATCCCCAAAAAATCCTAAAAACTTCCCCAAAAAATGGCATAAAAATCCCCAAAGAAATGGCATAAAAATCCCCAAAGACCCAGAAAAAAGACCAAAAAATCCCCAAAAAATGGCAAAAAATCCCCAAAAAATGGCAAAAAATCCCCAAAAAAATCCTAAAAACATCCCCAAAAAATCCCAAAAAATCCCCCAAAAATCCTAAAAATATCCCTCAAAAAATCCATAAAAATCCTAAAAAAATCCCAAAAAAAACCAGAAAAAAGTAAAAAAATCCCCAAAAAAACCTAGAAAAATGGCATAAAAATCCCCAAAAAATCCCAGAAAAAAGCCAAAAAACTGGCAAAAAATCCCTGAAAAATCCCCAAAAAATGCCAAAAAATCACCAAAAAGTCTCCAAAAAATGGCCAAAAACCCCCAAAAAATCCCAAAAAAACCCCAAAAAAATGCCAAAAAATCCTAAAAAAATCCCAAAAAAATGGCAAAAAATCCCCCAAAAATCACCAAAAAATCCCCAAAAAATCCCCCAAAAAATCACCAAAAAATCCCCAAAAAATCCCCAAAAACCCCCCAAAATTTTGTTTTTTCCCCCCAAACCCATTGCACTCACTCTCGCTGTAGGGCTTGCGGGGCTTTTTCCTCAGGCAGGAGAGCCCTGAGCGCTCCAGCTCGCGTTAATGCCCCGAAAAATCCCCCAAAATTGCTGAGAAACACTAAAATAACCTCAAAAAATTGCAGAAAAATCCCCAAAAACTGGCAAAAAAAATACCCAAAAAATGGCAAAAAATCCCCAAAAACTGGCAAAAAAAAATCCCAAAAAAATGGCATAAAAATCCCAAAAAAATCCCCAAGAAGCCCAGAAAAAAGGCTGAAAAATCCCCGAAAAATCCCCGAAAAAAGCCAAAAAATCCTAAAAATATCCCCAAAAAATGGCAAAAAATCCCCCAAAAAACCTCCAAAAAACCCCAGAAAAATGGCATAAAAATCCCCCAAAAATCACCAAAAAGTCCTAAAAAAGTCCCCAAAAAATGGCAAAAAATCCCCAAAAAATCCCCCAAAAATCCCCAAAAAATCACGAAAAAAATCACTAAGAAGTCCCCAAAAAATGGCAAAAAATCTCCAAAAAATCACTAAAAAATCCCCCAAAAAATCCCAGAAAAATTCCGAAAAAATGCCAAAACATCCTAAAAATATCCCCAAAAAATGGCAAAAAATCCCCGAAAAATCTCCAAAAAATCCTAAAAATATCCCCAAAAAATGGCAAAAACTCCCCCAAAAAATGTCAAAAAATCCCCCAAAAATCACCAAAACATCCTAAAAATATCTCCAAAAAATGGCAAAAAATCCCCAAAGAAATGGCAAAAAATCCAAAAAAAATCCCAAAAAAATGGCAAAAATCCTAGAAAAATCCCTCAAAAAAATCCATAAAAAAATCCATAAAAATTCTTAAAAAATCTCAAAAAAACCCCAGAAAAAAGCCAAAAAATCTCCAAAGAAACCCAGAAAAATGGCATCAAAATCCCCAAAAACCCCAAAAAAATCCCAAAAAAACCCCAAAAAAATGCCAAAAAATCCTAAAAATATCCCCAAAAAATGGCAAAAAATCCCCCAAAAATCCCAAAAAAATCCCCAAGAAATCCCCAAAAACCCCCCCAAAAAATGGGAAAAAAATCCCCCAAAAATCACAAAAAAATCCCAGAAAAATCCCCAAAAAATCATGAAAAAATACTAAAAATATCCCCAAAAAATGGCAAAAAATTCCCAAAAAAATCCCCAAAAACCCCCCAAAAATCCTGTTTTTCCCCCCAAAACCCCAAAACCCCTTATGCACTCACTCTCGCTGTAGGGCTTGCGGGGCTTTTTCCTCAGGCAGGAGAGCACGTAGCGCTCCAGCTCGCGTTAATGCCCCGGAAAATCCCCCAAAATTGCCGAGAAACACTAAAATAACCTCAAAAAATTGCAGAAAAATCCCCAAAAACTGGCAAAAAAAAATCCCCAAAAAATAGCAAAAAATCCCAAAAAATGGCAAAAAAAAGCCGAAAAATGGCAAAAAATCCCCAAAAAATGGCAAAAAAACCCCCAAAAAATGGCAAAAAAAATCCCCAAAAAATGGCATAAAAATCCCCAAAAATGGCAAAAAAAATCCCCAAAAAATGGCAAAAAATCCCCAAAAAATGGCAAAAAAATCCCAAAAAAATCCCCCTAAAATCCCAGAAAAAAGGCCAAAAAATGGCAAAAAAATCCACAAAAAATCCCAAAAAAATTCCCAAAAAATCCTAAAAAAATCTCCAAAAAAACCCCAGAAAAAAGCAAAAAAATCCCAAAACATCTCAAAAAAACCCCAGAAAAAAGCCAAAAAATCCCCAAAAAAATCTCAAAAATAACCCAGAAAAATGGCATAAAAATCACCCAAAAATCCCCAAGAAATCCCCAAAAACCCCCCAAAAAATGGCAAAAAATCCCCCAAAAATCACCAAAAAATCCCCCAAAAATCACCAAAAAATCCCCCAAAAATGGCAAAAAATCACCAAAAAATCCTAAAAATATCCCCAAAACACTCCAAAAAATCCTAAAAATATCCTTAAAAAATGGCATAAAAATCCCCAAAAAATGGCAAAAAATCCCGCAAATGTCACCAAAAAATCCCCAGAAAAACACCAAAAAATCCCCCAAAAATGGCAAAAAATCACCAAAAAATCCTAAAAATATCCCCAAAAAATCCCCAAAAATCCCCAAAAAACCTGTTTCCCCCCAAATACGACAGACTCACTCTCGCTGTAGGGCTTGCGGGGCTTTTTCCTGAGGCAGGAGAGCACATAGCGCTCCAGCTCACGTTAATGCCCCAAAAATTTTGTTTTTTCCCCCAAACCCCATGCACTCACTCTCGCTGTAGGGCTTGCGGGGCTTTTTCCTCAGGCAGGAGAGCACGTAGCGCTCCAGCTCGCGTTAATGCCCCGAAAAATCCCAAAAAAATGCCAAAAAATCCTAAAAACATCCCCAAAAAATGTCAAAAAATCCCCCAAAAATCACCAAAAAACCCAAAAAAATCCTAAAAAAATCCCAAAAAAATGGCAAAAAATCCCCCAAAAATCCCCCCAAAATCCCCAAAAAAGGCCAAATAATGGCAAAAAATCCCCCAAAAATGGCAAAAAATCCCCCAAAAAATCACTAGAAAGTCCCCAAAAAATGGCAAAAAATCCCCACAAAATGGCAAAAAATCCCCCAAAAAATCACTAAAAAGTCCCCAAAAAGTGGCAAAAAATCCCCAAAAAATGGCAAAAAATCCCCAAAAAATGGCAAAAAATCCCCCCAAAAATGGCAAAAAATCCCTAAAAAATCACCAAAAAGTCCCCAAAAATCACCAAAAAATCACCAAAAAATCCCCAAAAAAAGGCCAAAAACCCCCCAAAAAATGGCAAAAAATCCCCAAAAAATGGCAAAAATATCCCCCAAAAATGGCCAAAACCCCCCAAAAACCCCCCAAAAAATCCCAAAAATTTGTGTTTTTCCCCCAAAACCCCAGGAACCCCGTGCACTCACTCTCGCTGTAGGGCTTGCGGGGCTTTTTCCTCAGGCAGGAGAGCACGTAGCGCTCCAGCTCGCGTTAATGCCCCGAAAAATCCCCGAAAAATCCCTAAAAATCCCCCAAAAAATCCTAAAAATATCCCTCAAAAAAAATCCATAAAAATCCTAAAAAAATGTCCAAAAAAACCCAGAAAAAAGCCAAAAAATCCTAAAAAAATCTCCTAAAAATATCCCAAAAAAATGGCAAAAAATCCCCAAAAAATGTCAAAAAATCCCCCAAAAATCACAAAAAAATCCCCAAAAAATCACCAAAAACTCCCCCAAAAATCCCCAAAAAATGGCAAAAAAATCCCCAAAAAATGGCAAAAAATCCCCAAAAAATGGCAAAAAATCCCCCAAAAATGCCGAATAATCCCCAAACCTCCAAAAAACCCCAGAAAAATGGCATAAAAATCCCCAAAAAACCCAGAAAAAGGGCAAAAATATCCCCAAGAACTGGCAAAAAAAAATCCCCAAAAAATGGCAAAAAAATCCCAGAAAAAAAGGCCAAAAAATGGCAAAAAATCCCCTAAAAATCACCAAAAACCCCAAAAAAATCCTAAAAATATCCCCAAAAAATGGCAAAAAATCCCCGAAAAATGGCAAAAAATCCCTCAAAAATCACCAAAAAATCGCTCAAAAATATCCATATAAATCCTAAAAATATCCCCAAAAATGGCAAAAAAATCCCCCAAAAATCACCAAAAAATCCCCAAAAAAATGCCAAAAAGTCGTAAAAAAATCCCTCAAAAAAATTTCTAAAAATCCTAAAAAAATCTCAAAAGAACCCCAGAAAAAAGCCAAAAAAATCCCAAAAAATGGGAAAAAATCCCCCAAAAATCACCAAAAAATCACCCAAAAATCCCCAAGAAATCCCCAAAAACCCCCCAAAAAATGGCAAAAAATCCCCCAAAAATCACCAAAAAATCCCCCAAAAATCACCAAAAAATCCCCCAAAAATGGCAAAAAATCACCAAAAAATCCTAAAAATATCCCCAAAACACTCCAAAAAATCCTAAAAATATCCTTAAAAAATGGCATAAAAATCCCCAAAAAATGGCAAAAAATCCCCCAAAAGTCACCAAAAAATCCCCAGAAAATCACCAAAAAATCCCCCAAAAATCCCCCAAAAATCACTAAAAACCCCCCAAAAAATCCCAAAAATTTTTTTTTTCCCCCCAAAACTCGGATGCACTCACTCTCGCTGTAGGGCTTGCGTGGCTTTTTCCTGAGGCAGGAGAGCACGTAGCGCTCCAGCTCGCGCAGCGTGGACGCCTTGAGCGTCTCGAAGTCGATCTCGATCTCCTCGGGGTTGGAGTCGCGCAGGGACGGCTCCCGGGCCTGGATGATGTGAACCACGCGCCCCAACTTCTCCCCGGGCAGTTTGTTGATGTCCAGGCTCAGCTGCCGCTTCTCGTCGTACGACATCGGCCGCGGCTCCTCCTCCTCCTCCGAGTCCAGCAGCGACGAGGGGGCGGCGGTAGAGGCGGGTTTGGGGGGTTTTTTGGAGGTTCTGGGGGAAAAAATTGAAAAAAATTGGGTTTTTTGTCCCAAAATTGAAAAAAAATCTGATTTTTCCCCATTTTTATAGGCAATTTTTGGTCTTAGCTGCTTCAAATACAGCAGGGAAAAAGGCACAATAAGGAAAGGGGCTTGGAGGGTTTCTTGGAGGTCCTGTAAAATAAAATTGGAAAAAATTGTGATTTTTGACCAAAAATTCAAAAAAAAATCTAATTTTTCCTTAATTTAACAGGTAAGTTTTGGTCTCAATTCCTTTAAATCCAGCAGGGAAAAAGGCACAATAAGGAGAGGGCGTTGGGGGGTTTTTTGGAGGTTCTGCGGGGAAATAGGGAAAAAAATTGGGAAAAAATCTGATTTTTTCCTCATTTTTATAGGCAGTTTTTGGTCTCAACTCCTTTAAATCCAGCAGGGAGGAAGGCACAATAAGGAAAGGAGGTTTGGAGGGTTTCTTGGAGGTTCTGGAGGAAAAAAATTGGAAAAAATTGGAGTTTTTGAGTGAAAATTGAAAAAAAATCTGATTTTTCCTCATTTTTATAGGTAGTTTTTGGTCTTTTATAGCTAATTTTTGCTTCAAATCCAGGAGGGAGGAAGGCACAATAAGCACAGGGAGTTTGGGGGGTTTTTTGGAGGTTCTGCGGAAAAAAAATGGAAAAAAACCAAAAAAATTGAAGTTTTTTGACCCAAAATCTGATTTTTTCTCATTTTTATAGGCAGTTTTTGGTCTCAATTCCTTCAAATTCAAGAGGGAGGAAGGCACAATAATCACAGGGGGTTTGGAGGGTTTCTTGGTGGTTCTGGAGGAAAAAACCAAAAAAAAAAAAAATGGTCATTTTGGAGTGAAAATTGGGAAAAAAAAATCTAATTTTTCATGATTTTTTGGTCTCAACTCCTTTAAATCCAGGAGGGAGGAAGGCACAATAAGGAGAGGGGTTTGGAGGATTTTTTGGAGGTTCTGGGGGGAAAAAATTGGAAAAAATTGGGGTTCTTGGAGTGAAAATTGAAAAGAATCTGATTTTTCCTCATTTTTATAGGTAATTTTTGGTCTCAACTCCTTCAAATCCAGCAGCTGCCCCTGCCTGGCCCCAAATCCCAAACCCCAAATAACTCATCTCAAACCCCAAAAATCTCTGGAATCCCAACCCTAAACCCCCCAAAAACCCCCAAAAAACCCCAAAAAACCCCAAAAAAACCCCAAAAAACCCCCAAATTTCTCACCTGGCCCCCGTTGCAGCCCCGTTCCTGCGGGCCCTGCGCAGCTGCCCCTGCCTGGCCCCAAATCCCAAACCCCCCAAAAATACCATTTCAAACCCCAAAAAACTCCGAAATAACAACCCCAAACTCCCCAAACTCCCCAAAAACCCCAAAAAACCCCAAAATCCAAGTCTCAAATCCCAAAAAATCCCAAAATTCCGACCTCAAACCCCCTAAAAAAAACCCCCAAAATTCTCTCTGAGCTCTCACCTGGAGCCTCCTCCAGCTCCGCTTTTCCGGAGCATTTCCAACAACCCAAACCCCAAAAATCTCTGGAATAACAATCCCAAACCCCCCCAAAAACCCCAAAAAGCTCCAAAAAAACCCAAAAAACCCCAAAAACCCCCAAATCTCTCACCTGGCCCCCGCTGGGGCGCCGTTCCTGCGGGCCCTGCGCAGCTGCCCCTGCCTGGCCCCAAATCCCAAACCCCAAAAACCTCCGGAATAACAACCCCAAAATCCCAAAAAATCCCACAAAACCCCCAAAAAAACCCCAAAAACCCCCAAAAAACCCCAAATTTCTCACCTGGCCCCCGCTGCAGCCCCGTTCCTGCGGGCCCTGCGCAGCTGCCCCTGCCTGGCCCCAAATCCCAAACCCCCCAAAAACCTCTGGAATAACAACCCCAAAATCCCCAAAAAAACCCCAAAAAACCCCCAAAAAACCCCAAAAAACCCCAAAAAACCCCAAAAATCCCCAAAAAACCCCAAAAAACCCCAAATTCCTCACCTGGCCCCCGCTGCAGCCCCGTTCCTGCGGGCCCTGCGCAGCTGCCCCTGCCTGGCCCCAAATCCCAAACCCCCCAAAAAAACCATTTCAAACCCCAAAAAGCCCCCAAAAAACCCAAAAATCCCAATCCCAAAAAACCCCAAAATCCCAATCTCAAATCCCAAAAAATCCCAAAATCTCCACCCTAAACCCCAAAATTCTCTCTGAGCTCTCACCTGGAGCCTCCTCCAGCTCCGCTTTTCTGGAGCATTTCCAACAACCCAAACCCCAAAAAACTCATCCCAAACCCCAAAAATCTCTGGAATAACAATCCCAAATCCCAAAAAACCCCAAAAAAACCCAAAAAAATCCCCAAAAAACTCCAAAAACCCCAAAAAACCCCAAAACCTCTCACCTGGACCCCTGCTCCGACTCTGCTTTTCCGGAGCATTCCCGCTTGAACTCCCCCATCCCAAACCTCAAAAAACTCATCCCAAACCCCAAAAATCTCCGGAATAACAATCCCAAATCCCCAAAAAACCCCAAAAACCCCAAATTTCTCACCTGGCCCCCGCTGGGGCCCCGTTCCTGCGGGCCCTGCGCAGCTGCCCCTGCCTGGCCCCAAATCCCAAACCCCCCAAAAAAACCATTTCAAACCCCAAAAACCCCCAAAAAACTCCGGAATAACAACCCCAAAACCCCCAAAAAACCCCAAAAAACCCCAAAAAACCCCAAATTTCTCACCTGGCCCCAGTTGCAGCCCCGTTCCTGCGGGCCCTGCGCAGCTGCCCCTGCCTGAGCCCAAATCCCAAACCCCCCAAAAAAACCATTTCAAACCCCAAAAAGCCCCCAAAAAACCCAAAAATCCCAATCCCAAAAAACCCCAAAATCCCAATCTCAAATCCCAAAAAATCCCAAAATCTCCACCCTAAACCCCAAAATTCTCTCTGAGCTCTCACCTGGAGCCTCCTCCAGCTCCGCTTTTGTGGAGCATTTCCAACAACCCAAACCCCAAAAAACTCATCCCAAATCCCAAAAATCCCATCCCAAACCCCAAAAAACTCCGGAATAACAATCCCAAATCCCAAAAAACCCCAAATCCCAATCCCAAACCCCCTAAAAGACCCCAAAAACCCCAAAATTCTCTCTGAGCTCTCACCTGGAGCCTCCTCCAGCTCCGCTTTTCCGGAGCATTTCCAACAACCCAAACCCCAAAAAGCTCCGGAATAACAACCCCAAAAACCCCAAAAAACCCCAAAAACCCCCAAAAACCCCCAAAAACCCCAAATCCCTCACCTGGCCCCCGTTGCAGCCCCGTTCCTGCGGGCCCTGCGCAGCTGCCCCTGCCTGAGCCCAAATCCCAAACCCCAAAACCTCCAAAATTCCAATCCCAAAAAAACCCCAAAAAACCCCCAAAAATCCCCAAAAAACCCCAAAAAAACCCCAAAAAAAACCCCAAACCCCCAAAAAAACCCCAAATCTCTCACCTGGACCCCACTGTGGGCCCTGCGCAGCTGCCCCTGCCTGAGCCCAAATCCCAAACCCCCCAAAAAAACCATTTCAAACCCCAAAAAATCCCCTAAAAATCCCCTAAAAAACCCCCAAAAACCCCCAAAAAACCCCAAACCCCTCACCTGGCCCCCGTTGCAGCCCCGTTCCTGCGGGCCCTGCGCAGCTGCCCCTGCCGCAGCCGCTCCTCCTCGGGCCCGGCCGTTCTCCCTTTGTGCTTCTCCGACTTTTTCTTCTTCCTCTTCTCGCGCCTGCGGCGGGGTTTGGCCGCGGGGCCCTGCGAGAGCGCCGCCAGCTGCTCGTGCACCGCCCGCAGCTGTGGAGAGCCCACATTTTATCCCAGTTTTTTCCTCATTTTTTCCCCATTTTTTCCTATTTTTTTCCTATTTAATTCGAATTTTTTTCCTATTTTTTGTTATTTCTTTCCGATTTTTTCCCAATTTTATTCTAATTTTTTTCTAATTTTTTTCCGATTTTTTTCCAATTTTATTCGATTTTTTTCGGATTTTTTCCCTGATTTTTCCCCGTTTTATTCGAAATTTTTTTCTGTTTTATTCCAATTTTTCCCCTGTTTTTTCTCGTTTTGTTCCATGTTTTTTCCCCATTTTTTGTGATTTTTTCCTATTTTTTCCCCAATTTTCCCCCAATTTTTTTCCAATTTTTCCCCATTCCCCCCATGTTTTTCCCAATTTTTTGCATTTTTTGCAATTTCCCCCCCAGTTCCCCCCCAATTTTCCCCCCAATTCCCCTAATTTTTTCCCAATTTTTCCCCAATTTTTTCCCAATTTTCCCCCAATTTTTTTCCAATTTCCCCCTAATTCGCCCCCATGTTTTCCCCAATTGACCCCAATTTGTTCCCAATTTTCCCCATTTTTTCCAAAATTTTTCCCAAATTTTTCCCCAATTTTTTCCCAATTTCCCCCAATTTGTTCCCAATTCCCCCCAATTTTTCCCCAATTTTTCCCCCAATTTTCCCCCAATTTTTTCCCAATTTTCCCCATTTTCCCCAATTTTCCCCCAATTTCTCCCCAATTTTCCCCCCAATTTTCCCCAATTTTTTCTCTAAATTTTCCCAATTTTTCCCCAATTTCCCCCCAATTTTCCCCAATTTTTCCCCCAATTTTCCCCCATGTTTTTCCCAATTTCTCCCCAATTTCTCCCCAATTTTTCCCCAATTTCCCCCAATTTCCTCCCAATTTTTTTCCAATTTTCCCCCAATTTTCCCCCAATTTTTTCCCAATTTTTCCCCAACTTCCCCCCCATGTTTCTCCCAATTTTTCCCCCAATTTTTTTCCAATTTTCCCAATTTTCCCCCAATTTTTTCCCAATTTTTCCCAGACTTCCCCCCAATTTTTTCCCAATTTTTCCCAGACTTCCCCCCAATTTTTTCCCAATTTTTCCCAGACTTCCCCCCAATTTTTTCCCAATTTTTTCCCAATTTCTCCCCAATTTTTCCCAATTTTTCCCCTGATTTTCCCCCATGTTTTTCCCAATTTTTCCCCAATTTCCCCCCAATTTTGCCCAAATTTTCCTCAATTTTTTCCCAATTTCCCCCCAATTTTTTTCTAATTCCCCTCCATGTTTTTCCCATTTTTTCCCCCATGTTTTTCCCAATTTTCAGCCAATTTCCCCCAATTTCTTCCCAATTCCCCCCTAATTTTTCCCCAATTCCCCTCCATGTTTTCCCAATTTTTCCCCCAATTCCCCCCAATTTTCCCCCAGTTTTCCCCAATTTTTCCCCAATTTCCCCCCTAATTTTTTCCCAATTTTCCCCCATGTTTTTCCCAATTTCTCCCCAATTTTTCCCCAATTTTCCCCCCAATTCCCCTAATTTTTTCCCAATTTTCCCCCAATTTTCCCCCATGTTTTTCCCAATTTTCCCCGATTTTTTCCCAATTTTTCCCCAATTTTTCCCAATTTCTCCCCAATTTCCTCCCCAATTTCCTCCCAAATTTTTTCCAATTTTCCCCCAATTTTTTTCCAATTTTTCCCCAATTTCCTCCCAATTTTCCCCCAATTTTCTCCCAATTTTTTCCCAATTTTCCTCCCAATTTCCCCCAATTTCTTCCCAATTCCCCCCTAATTTTTCCCCAATTCCCCTCCATGTTTTTCCCAATTTTCCCCCAATTTTTTCCCAATTTCTCCCCAAATTTTCCAAATTTTTCCCCGATTTCCCCCCAATTTTCCAAATTTTTCCCCCAATTTTTCCCCATGTTTTTCCAAATTTCTCTCCAATTTTTCCCCAATTTTCCCCAATTCTTTCTAATTTTTCCCCCATTTCCCCCCATGTCTTTCCCAATTTACCCCCAGTTTCCTCCCAAATTTTTTCCAATTTTCCCCCTATTTTTTTCCAATTTTCCCAATTTTCCCCCAATTTGCCCCCAATTTCCTCCCAAATTTTTTCCAATTTTCCCCCAATTTCCTCCCAAATTTTTCCCAATTTTTCCCCAATTTTTCCCAATTTTTCCCCCAATTTTTCCCCAATTTTCCCCGATTTCCCCCCAATTCCCCTCCATGTTTTTCCCAATTTTTCCCCAATTTTCCCCCATGTCTTTCCCAATTTTCCCCCAATTTTCCCCCAATTTCCCCCCAATTTCCTCCCAAATTTTTTCCAATTTTCCCCCAATTTTCCCCCAATTTTCCCCCATGTTTTCCCCAATTTCACCCCAATTTTCCCCCATTTTCCCCGATTTCCCCCCAATTCCCCTCCATGTTTTTCCCAATTTTTCCCCCAATTTTTTCCCAATTTTCCCAATTTTCCCCCATGTTTTCCCCAATTTTTCCCGAATTTCCCCCCAATGTTTTCCCAATTTTTCCCCCAATTTTCCCCCATGTTTTTCCCAATTTCTCCCCAATTTTTCCCAATTTCCCCCAATTTCTCCCCAATTTCTTCCCAATTCCCCCCAATTTTCCCCAATTTTTTCTCAATTTTCCCCAATTTTTCCCCGATTTCCCCCCCAATTTTCCCAATTTTTTCTCCATTTTTTTTCCAATTTCCCCCCAATTTCCCACCAATTTCCCCCCAATTTTCCCCAATTTTTCCCCAATTTCCCCCCTAATTTTTTCCCAATTTTCCCCAATTTTTCCCCAATTTTTTCTCAATTTTTCCCCAATTTGTTCCCAATTTCCCCCCAATTTTCCCGAATTTTTTCTCAATTTTTTTCCAAATTTCCCCCCAATTTTTCCCCAATTTTCCCCAATTTTTCCCAATTTCTCCCCAATTTTCCCCAATTTTTTCCCCAATTTTCCCCCAATTTTTTTTCCAATTTTCCCCCAATTTATTTTCCAATTTTCCCAATTTTCCCCCAATTCCCCGCAATTCTTTCTCAATTTTTCCGCAATTTCCCCCCAATTTTCCCCCCAATATTCCCCAATTTTCCCCCAATTTTCCCCCCAATTTCCCCCAATTTTTCCCCAATTTTTCCCCAATTTCCCCCCAATTTTCCCAATTTTTCCCCCAATTTTCCCCCATGTTTTTCCCAATTTCCCCCCAATTTTCCCCAATTCTTTCGAATTGTTCCCCCATTCCCCCCCATGTCTTTCCCAATTTTCCCCCAATTTTTCTGCAATTTCTCCCCCATTTCCTCCCAAATTTTTTCCAATTTTCCCCCAATTTTTCCCCAATTTTTCCCCAATTTTCCCCAATTTTCCCCAATTTTTTGTCAATTTTTTCCCCAATTCCCCGTTTCCCCACCTGCTCCTGCAGCTCGGCCAGCCGGTTCGCTCTCTCCTCCTCGGAGTCGGAGCTCTCGTCGCTCTCCGACGTCGTTTCCGTGGAACTTTCCTCCTCTTCCTCCTCCTCCTCCTCCTCCTCCTCCTCCTCCTCCTCCTCCTCCTCCTCTTCCTCGCTGGACGATTCCTCGCTGGAGGATTTGGCCGTGGGCAGCGGCGCCGCGGCCGCGGCAGCGCCGGAGCGCGGCGGCTCGTCCGGCATCTTGGCGTAGCTGAACTCGAACACGTCCTGCGGGAATTCCGCATTTCAGACCAAAAATTCCCAAATTTCGTTGAGAATCCCCAAATTCTGAGCGCCAATCCCCAAATTCCGAGCAAGAATTCCCAAATTCCGGAGAGAATCCCCAAATTCGAGTTAGAACACCCAATTCTAGCCAGAATTCCCAAATTTCGTTGAGAATCCCCAAATTCCGGAGAGAATTCCCCAAATTCGAGTGAGACCACCCAATTCCAGCCAGAATTCCCAAATTCTGGGTGAGAATCCCCAAATTCTGAGCGAGAATTCCCAAATTCTGAGCGACAATTCTTGGCGTAGCTGAACTCGAACACATCCTGCGGAAATTCCCAATTTCAGACCAAAAATTCCCAGAATTCCCGGAAAAATATCTCGAATTTTCGTCCCAAAATTCCCGGAAAAATATCTCGAATTTTCGTCCCAAAATTCCCAGAATTCACGGAAAAAATGTCAAATTTTCGTGCCAAAAATCCCGGAATTCACGGAAAAAATTTTGGATTTTCGTCCCAAAATTCCCGGAATTCACAGAAAAAATGTCGAATTTTCGTCCCAAAAATCCCTGAATTACCACAATGAAAGCCCACAATTCCCAGAATAAAATCTCAAATTCTCATCCCAAAAATCCCTGGAATTCCCACAATGAAATCCCAGAATTCCCGGAATAAAAGAACAAATTCCTGTGCCAAAAATACCCAGAATTCCCAGAAAAAAAAAATCTAAAATTTTAATCCCAAAAATCCCTGGAATTCCCAGAATAATATCCCAGAATTCCCAGAAAAAAAATCCCGAATTCTCGTCCCAAAAATCCCTGGAATTCCCACAATGAAAATCCCAGAATTCCCAGAATAAAATCTCAAATTCTCGTCCCAAAAATGCCTGGAATTCCAAGAATAAAATCCCGAATTCTCGTCCCAAAAATCCCCAAATTCTGAGCGGGAATTCTTGGCGTAGCTGAACTCGAACACGTCCTGTGGGAATTCCGCATTTTACAGCAAAAATTACACGGGATTCACGGGAAAAAATGTCCAATTTTTGTGCCAAAATTCCCGGAATTCACGGAAAAAAATCTCCAATTTTTGTGCCAAAAATTCCCGGAATTCCCGGAAAAAAATCTCGAATTTTCGTCCCAAAATTCCCAGGATTCACGGAAAAAAATCTCGAATTTTCGTCCCAAAATTCCCAGAAATCATGGGAAAAATTCTTGAATTTTTGTCCCAAAATTCCCGGAATTGACGGGAAAAATACCTCGAATTTTCGTGCCAAAAATTCCCAGAATTCCCAGAAAAAAATCTCAAATTTTCGTCCCAAAATTCCCGGAATTTCTAAGAAAAAATCTTGAATTTTCGTCCAAAAAGTCCCGGAATTCACGGAAAAATATCTCGAATTTTCGTCCCAAAATTCCCAGAAATCATGGAAAAAAATCTCGAATTTTTGTGCCAAAAATCCCTGAATTCCCACAATGAAATCCCAGAATTCCCACAATAAAACCCTAAATTCCCAGAATAAAATCTCAAATTTCCGTCCCAAAAATCCCTGGAATTCCCGGAATAAAATCCCAGAATTCCCAGAATAAAATCACAAAGTCACAGAATAAAATCACAAATTCTCGTCCCAAAAATCCCTGGAATTCCCACAATGAAATCCCAGAATAAAATCCCAAATTCCTTTCCCAAAAATCCCTGGAATTCCCACAATGAAATCCCACAATTCCCACAATAAAACCCTAAATTCCCAGAATAAAATCCCAGAATTCCCAGAATAAAACCACAAATTCCCAGAATAAAATCACAAATTCTCATCCCAAAAATCCCTGGAATTCCCAGAATAATATCCCAGAATTCCCAGAATAAAATCCCAAATTCTCGTCCCAAAAATCCCCAAATTCTGAGCGAGAATTCCCAAATTCTGAGCGAGAATTCTTGGCGTAGCTGAACTCGAACACGTCCTGTGAGAATTCCCGATTTTTAATCAAAAATTCCACAGGATTCACGGGAAAAAATCTCGAATTTTCGTCCCAAAATTCCCGAAAAAAAATCTCAAATTTTTGTCCCAAAATTCCCAGGATTCATGGAAAAAAATATCGAATTTTTGTGCCAAAATTCCCGGAATTTCTAAGAAAAAATCTTGAATTTTCGTCCAAAAAGTCCCAGAATTCACGGGAAAAATTCTTGAATTTTCGTCCCAAATTCTGGGTGAGAATCCCCAAATTCCCGGCAAAAATTCCCAAATTCCGCAGAGAATTCCCAAATCCGAGTGAGAACACCCAATTCCAGCCAGAATTCCCAAATTCTGGGTGGGAATCCCCAAATTCCCGGCAAAAATTCCCAAATTTCATTGAGAATCCCCAAATTTGAGCGCAAATTCCCAAATTTCGAGCGAGAATTCCCAAATTCGAGTTAAAACACCCAATTCCAGCCAGAATCCCCAAATTCTGGGTGAGAATCCCCAAATTCCCGGCAAAAATTCCCAAATTTCATTGAGAATTCCCAAATTTCGAGCTTCGAGCGAGAATTCCTGAATTTCGAGCGAGAATTCCCAAATTTCGTTGAGAATCCCCAAATTCGAGCGCGAATCCCCGAATTCCGAGCGCGAATCCCCAAATTCTGGGTGGGAATCCCCAAATTCCCGGCAAAAATTCCCAAATTCTGGGTGAAAATCCCCAAATTCCCGGCGAAAATTCCCAAATTTCGTTGAGAATCCCCAAATTCGAGCGCGAATCCCCAAATTCCGAGCGAGAATTCCCAAATTCTGGAGAGAATTCCTAAATTCGAGTGAGAACACCCAATTCCAGCCAGAATTCCCAAATTCTGGGTGAGAATCCCCAAATTCCCGGCAAAAATTCCCAAATTTCGTTGAGAATCCCCAAATTTTGAGCGAGAATCCCCAAATTCCGGCGACAATTCCCAAATTCCAGCCATAATCCCCAAATTCTCGTCCCCAAACCCCCAAATTCTGAGCGAGAATTCCCAAATTCTGAGCGACAATTCTTGGCGTAGCTGAACTCGAACACGTCCTGTGGGAATTCCACATTTTACATCAAAAATTTCACGCAATTCACAGGAAAAAATGTCCAATTTTCGTGCCAAAAATTCCCGGAATTCACGGGAAAAATATCTCGAATTTTTGTGCCAAAAGTCCCGGAATTCACGGAAAAAAATCTCCAATTTTCGTCCCGAAATTCCCAGAATTGACGGGAAAAAATCTCGAATTTTCGTCTCAAAATTCCCAGAATTTCTAAGAAAAAATCTTGAACTTTCGTCCAAAAAGTCCCGGAATTGATGGAAAAAAATCTCGAATTTCCGTCCCAAAATTCCCTGGAATTCCCACAATGAAATCCCACAATTCCCAGAAAAAAAATCTCAAATTTCCATCCCAAAAATCCCTGGAATTCCCACGATGAAATCCCAGAATAAAATCCCACAATTCCCAGAATAAAATCCCAAATTCCTTTCCCAAAAATCCCTGGAATTCCCAGAATAAAATCTCAAATTCCCAGAATAAAATAACAAAATCCTGTGCCAAAAATTCCCAGAATTCCCAGAAAAAAAAAATCAAATTTCCGTCCCAAAAGTCCCTGGAATTCCCAGAATAAAATCCCAGAATTCCCAGAATAAAATCTCAAATTCCTGTCCCAAAAATCCCTGGAATTCCCACAATGAAATCCCAGAATTCCCAGAATAAAATCCCAAATTCCTGTCCCAAAAATCCCTGGAATTGTCAGAATAAAATCCCAAATTCTCATCCCAAAAATCCCCAAATTCTGGGCGAGAATTCCCAAATTCTGGGTGAGAATCCCCAAATTCCCGGCAAAAATTCCCAAATTTCGTTGGGAATCCCCAAATTTGAGCACAAACCCCCAAATTTCAAGCGAGAATTCCCAAATTCCAGAGAGAATTCCCAAATTGGAGTGAGAACACCCAGTTCCAGCCAGAATTCCCAAATTTCGTTGAGAATCCCCAAATTCGAGTGCGAATCCCCGAATTCGAGCGGGAATTCCCAAATTCGAGCGCGAATCCTCAAATTCCCGGGAAAAATTCCCAAATTTCGTTGAGAATCCCCAAATTCTGAGCGCGAATCCCCAAATTCTGGGTGGGAATCCCCAAATTCCCGGCAAAAATTCCCAAATTTTGTTGAGATTTCCCAAATTCCGATCGGGAATCCCCAAATTCGAGCGCGAATCCCCGATTTCCGATCGGGAATTCCGGGATTTCCCCGGGACCGCCCTCACCTGGAGCTTCCTGGCCATGGCCACCACGTCGTGGTCGGGCGGGTTGTACTTGTAGCAGTTGGAGAACATCAACCGGACGTCGGCGGCGAATTCCTGCGCGTCCCGGAACTCCCGGTTCTCCATCTTCCGCTGCCGGAGACACGGAACGGCCGGAAACCGGGTCATGGAAGGGTCAACGGGGTCATGGAAGGGTCATGGAAGGGTCAGCGGGGTCATGGAAGGGTCAATGGGGTCATGGAAGGGTCATGGAAGGGTCAATGGGGTCATGGAAGGGTCATGGAAGGGTCATGGAAGGGTCAGCGGGGTCATGGAAGGGTCATGGAAGGGTCATGGAAGGGTCAATGAGGTCATGGAATGGTCATGGAAGGGTCAATGGGGTCATGGAAGAGTCAATGGGTCTTGGAAGGGTCAATGGGGTCAATGAGGTCATGGAATGGTCAACGGGGTCATGGAAGGGTCAATGGGGTCAATGAGGTCTTGGAAGGGTCAATGGGGTCAACTGAGTCATGGAAGGGTCAATGGGGTCAACTGAGTCATGGAAGGGTCAATGGGGTCAACGGGGTCATGGAAGGGTCAATGGGGTCAACGGGGTCATGGAATGGTCATGGAAGGGTCAATGGGGTCATGGAATGGTCAACGGGGTCATGGAAGGGTCATGGAAGGGTCATGGAAGGGTCAACGGGGTCATGGAAGGGTCAATGGGGTCATGGAAGGGTCAATGGGGTCATGGAACGGTCAATGGGGTCAATGAGGTCATGGAATGGTCAATGAGGTCAATGGGGTCATGGAAGGGTCAATGGGGTTAATGAGGTCATGGACAGGTCAATGGGTCTTGGAAGGGTCAATGGGGTCAATGGGGTCATGGGATGGTCAATGGGGTCATGGAAGGGTCAATGGGTCATGGAAGGGTCAATGGGGTCATGGAAGGGTCAATGGGGTCATGGAAGGGTTAACGGGGTCATGGAATGGTCATAGAAGGGTCAATGAGGTAAACTGAGTCATGGAAGAGTCAATGGGGTCATGGAAGGGTCAAGGGGGTCATGGAAGGGTCATGGAAGGGTCAACGGGGTCATGGAAGGGTCAATGAGGTCAACTGATCATGGAAAGGTCAATGGGGTCATGGAATGGTCAATGGGGCCATGGGATGGTCAATGAGGTCAATGAGGTCATGGAAGGGTCAAGGGGGTCATGGAAGGGTCAGCGGGAAACCGAGTCACGGAACGGTCATGGAAGGGTCAATGGGGTCATGGAAGGGTCAATGGGGTCATGGAAGGGTCAATGGGGTCAATGAGGTCATGGAATGGTCAATGGGTCTTGGAAGGGTCAATGGGGTCATGGAAGGGTCAATGGGGTCAATGGGGTCATGGAAGGGTCAATGAGGTCATGGAATGGTCAGTGAGGTCATGGAAGGGTCAATGAGGTCATGGAAGGGTCAATGGGGTCATGGAAGGGTCAATGGGGTCATGGAAGGGCCAATGGGGTCATGGAAGGGTCAATGGGGTCATGGAAGGGTCAATGAGGTCATGGAAGGGTCAATGGGGTCAATGAGGTCATGGAAGGGTCAATGGGGTCATGGAAGGGTCAATGAGGTCATGGAAGGGTCAATGAGGTCATGGAAGGGTCAACGGGGTCATGGAAGGGTCAATGGGGTCATGGAAGGGTCAATGAGGTCATGGAAGGGTCAATGGGGTCAATGAGGTCATGGAAGGGTCAATGGGGTCATGGAAGGGTCAATGAGGTCAATGAGGTCATGGAAGGGTCAATGGGGTCATGGAAGGGTCAATGAGGTCATGGAAGGGTCAATGAGGTCATGGAAGGGTCAACGGGGTCATGGAAGGGTCAATGGGGTCAATGGTTCTTGGAAGGGTCAATGAGGTCATGGAAGGGTCAATGAGGTCAATGGGGTCATGGAAGGGTCAATGAGGTCAATGGGGTCATGGGATGGTCAATGGGGTCATGAATGATTCAATTTGGTCATCGAAATGTCAACGATTCAGTCCACAAATCGCCAAGAAACTCCAAAAAATCCCCAAAATAACACCTAAAAAACCCCCAAAATTCACCAAAAACCCCAAAAATTCAGCAAAACCTCAAAAAAACCCCCAAAACCCCCCAAAAACCCCCAAACTCACCTTGATGGTGCTGAGATCCATGGGGTGCTTGATGATCTCGTGGTAATCGTGGAGTTGTGGGGTCATGGAAGGGTCAATGGGGTCATGGAAGGGTCAATGAGGTCATGGAAGGGTCAATGGGGTCATGGAATGGTGAATGAGGTCATGGAAGGGTCAATGGGGTCATGGAAGGGTCAATGAGGTCATGGAAGGGTCAATGGGGAAACCGAGTCATGGAAGGGTCATGGAAGGGTCAATGAGGTCAATGAGGTCATGGAAGGGTCAATGAGGTCATGGAAGAGTCAATGAGGTCAATGAGGTCATGGAAGGGTCAATGAGGTCAATGAGGTCATGGAAGGGTCAATGGGGTCATGGAAGGGTCAAGGGGGTCATGGAAGGGTCAATGGGGTCTTGGAAGGGTCAACGAGGTCATGAATGATCCAATTTGGTCATCGAAACGTCAACGAATCATTCGACAAATCTCAAAAAAATCCCCAAAAAATCACCTAAAAAAACCCAAAAATTCACCAAAATCCCCAAAAAACCCCCAAACTCACCTTGATGGTGCTGAGATCCATGGGGTGCTTGATGATCTCGTGGTAATCGTGGAGCCCCAGGGCGGAGGCGTCGACGGGTTTGTAGAAGGGCCAGGCGTAGGCCGCGTGTTTTTTGGACAGCAGCTCCTTCAGGATCCCGTTGCAATACTTGAGCTGCTCCGAAAGTTTCCCTTTTTTGGAGGTTTGGTGCTGCTGGGAATCCGGGAGGTCCTTCCGGGGCGGTTTGATGGGTCGGCCGCTCTCGCGCCGCGCCGGCATTTTGGCGGCTTTGGGGTTTTCGGCGATGGACGGCGACGATTCGCCGCCGCTGGTGGCGATGATGGCGGTGGTGGTGGGGGTGGTGGTGTCGGCTTTCCGCTTCACGCCCTTTTTCTGGGGAAAAGGGATTTTTGGGGTTTGTTTTATGGGGTTTGGGTTGGTTTGGTGGTTCAAAATGACAAAAATCGCCGTTTTTGAGATTTAAAAAAAAATCCCATTTCTGGGTAAAATAAATAAAATTCCAAGAGATAAAATCCCATTCCAGGATAAAAAAATCCCGTTCTGGAATTGCAAAATCTCATTCCCAAATTCCAAAATCCCATTCAAAAATGATAAAAAAAAAATCTCATTCCCGAATTCCAAAATCCCATTCAAAAATGATAAAAAAATCCCATTCCAGGATTAAAAAAATTCCCATTCCCAAATTCCAAAAATCTCATTCCCAAATTCCAAAATCCCATTCCAGGATAAAAAAATCCCATTCCCGAATTCCAAAAACCCATTCAAAAATGATTAAAAAAAATCCCATTCCAGGATAAAAAAAATTCCCATTCCAGGATTAAAAAATTCCCATTCCAAGAGCCAAAATCCCATTCCAAGATAAAAAAATTCCCATTCCAGGACCCAAAATCCCATTCCAAGAGACAAAATCCCATTCCAGGATAAAAAAAAATCCCATTCCAAGAGATAAAATCCCATTCGAAAATGATAAAAAAATCCCATTCTGGAATTCCGAAATCTCATTCCGGAATTCCAAAATCCCATTCCAGGATAAAAAAATTCCCATTCCAGGACCCAAAATCCCATTCCAAGAGCCCAAAACCCATTCCAGGACCCAAAAACCCATTCCAGGATAAAAAAAATCCCATTCCGGAATTCATTCCAAAATCCCATTCGAAAATGATAAAAAAAAATCCCATTCCAGGATTAAAAAAATTCCCATTCCAGGACCCAAAATCCCATTCCAAGAGCAAAAATCCCATTCCAGTGTCCCAAACCCCAATCCCACATCCCAAACTCCCCAAATCCCACCCCAAAATCTCCAAATTCCCTCATCCCAAAACCCCGAAATCTCCCATTCCCACCCCAAAATTCCTAAATTCCCCCATCCCAAACCCCAAATCCTACCCCAAAATCCCCAAAAATCCCCAAAATCCCCCAAATCTCCCCATCCCAAACCCCAAATCCCACCCCAAACCCCCCAAATGCCCCATTCCCACCCCAAAATTCCCAAATCTCCCCATCGCAAACCCCAAATCCCACCCCAAAATCCCCAAAAATCCCCAAAATCCCCCAAATCTCCCCATCCCAAACCCCAAATCCCACCCCAAAATCCCCCAAATTCCTTCATCCCAAACCCCCCAAATCCCACCCCAAAATCCCCAAAAACCCCCAAATCCCACCCCAAAATCCCCAAAAATCCCCAAAAATCCCCAAAATCAAATTCCCTCATCCCAAATCCCACCCCAAAATCCCCAAATCCCACCCCAAAATCCCCTAAATCCCCTCATGCCAAACCCCAAATCCCACCCCAAAATCCCCAAAATCCCCCAAATTCCCTCATCCCAAATCCCCCAAATCCCACCTAAAATCCCCAAAAATCCCCAAAATTCCCAAATCTCCCCATCCCAAACCCCAAATCCCACCCAAAAATCCCCCAAATTCCCTCATCCCAAACCCCCCAAATCCTACCCCAAAATCCCCCAAAATCCCCCAAACCCCCCAAATATCCCCATCCCAAACCCCAAACCCCCCAAAAAACCCCAAATCCCCCAATTCCCTCATCCAAAACCCCAAATCCCACCTAAAATCCCCAAAATCCCAAATTCCCTCATCCCAAACCCCTCAAATCCCCCATTCCCACCCCAAAATCCCCAAAAATCCCCCAAATTCCCTCATCCCAAACCCCAAATCCCACCCCAAAGCCCCCAAATCCCACCCCCAAATCTCCAAAAATCCCCAAAATCCCCCAAATTCCCTCATCCCAAACTCCAAATCCCCCATTCCCACCCCAAAATCCCCAAAAATCCCCAAAAATCCCAAACCCCCCCATGCCAAACCCAAAATCCCACCCCAAAACCCCCAAAAATCCCCAAAATCCCCCAAATCTCCCCACCCCAAACCCCAAACCCCCCAAAAAAAACCCCAAATTCCCTCACCCACCCCAAAATCCCCAAAAATCCCCTAAATCCCCCAATTCCCTCATCCCAAACCCCCCAAATCCCCCATTCCCACCCCAAAATTCCCAAATCTCCCCATCCAAACCCAAAATCCCACCCCAAAATTGCCAAAAAACCCCAAAATCCCCCAAATCTCCCCACCCCAAACCCCAAATCCCACCCCAAAATCCCCCAAATTCCCTCATCCCAAACCCCAAATCCCACCCCAAAATCCCCAAAAATCCCCAAAATTCCCCAAATCTCCCCATCCCAAACCCCAAATCCCACCCCAAAATCCCCCAAAATCCCCCAATTCCCTCATCCCAAACCCCAAATCCCACCCAAACCCCCCAAATCCCACCCCAAAATCCCCAAAAATCCCCAAAATTCCCAAATCTCCCCATCCCAAACCCCCCAAATCCCACCCCAAAATCCCCCAAATTCCCTCATCTCAAACCCCCTAAATCCCCCATTCCCACCCCAAAATTCCCAAATCTCCCCATCCCAAACCCCCCAAATCCAACCCCAAAATCCCCTAAATCCCCCAATTCCCTCATCCCAAACCCCCCAAATCCCACCCCAAAACCCCCAAAAATCCCCAAAATCCCCCAAATCTCCCCACCCCAAACCCCAAATCCTACCCCAAACCCCCAAATCCCACCCCAAAATCCCCTAAATCCCCCAAATCCCACCCCAAAATCCCCAAAATCCCCCAATTCCCTCATCCCAAACCCCAAATCCCACCCCAAAATCCCCAAATCTCCCCACCCCAAACCCCAAACCCCCCAAAAAAACCCCAAAAAACCCCAAATCCCCTCACCTTGGCCACGGGCTGGGTGGGCGCGGGAGCCGCCAGGACGCCGGGGTTACTGGGATTACTGGGATTACCGGGATTGCTGGGATTATTTGGATTATTGGGATTATTGGGAATATTGGGAATATTGGGATTATTGGGATTTGCGGGGTGCTGCTGCAGGGATTTCAGGAGCGGCGCCGCGATGACCGACGGGTGCGGGATGGTGACGATGGGGGTCGGGATTTCGGGAGCGAATCCGGCCGAGGGTTGGGACACGGAGGAAACGGCCGGGACCTGCTGGGCCGCCCCGCTCAGACCCGCCAGGAGAGCTGGGGAGGGAAACAAATTCCTTGGGATTACTATAATTCCTGAGAAAATGGGGGAAAACGGGAAAAAAAATGGGGTTAGAAGGTGAAAACGCCTGGAAAAACGGGCTTGGGAGACACAAAATCATGGAAAATTGGGGTTGGAAGAACAAAAAACCTGGAAAAATGGGGTTGGGAGATGAAAAAAAACTGGAAAATTTGGACTGGAAGATGAAAAAACCTGGAAAATTTGGATTGGGACACACAAAAACGTGGAAAAATGGGGTTGGGAGATGGAAAAACCTGGAAAATTTGGATTGGAAGAACCAAAAAACTGGAAAAATGGGGTTGGAAGAACCAAAACCTGGAAAATTTGGATTGGAGGACACAAAAACCTGGAAAATTTGGATTGGAGGACACAAAAACGTGGAAAAATGGGGTTGGAAGAACCCAAAACCTGGAAAAACGGGGATGGAAGACACAAAAAACTGGAAAATTTGGATTGGAGGACACCGAAACGTGGAAAAATGGGGTTGGAAGACCCAAAAACCTGAAAAAATGGGGTTGGAAGAACCAAAAACCTGGAAAATTTGGATTGGAGGACACAAAACCATAGAAAAATGGGGGTGGGAGACCCAAAAACCTGGAAAAATGGGGGTGGGAGACAGAAAAACGTGGAAAATTTGGATTGGGAGACACAAAAAGCTGGAAAAATGGGGTTGGAAAACCCCAAAACCCGGAAAATTGGGGCTGGAAGACCCAAAAACCTGGAAAATTGGAGTTGGAAAATCCAAAAACCTGGAAAAATGGGGTGGGAGACACAAAAAACCTGGAAAATTGGGGTTGGGAGACCCAAAAAAGTTGGAAACTGGGGATTGGGGGTCGGGATTTCGGGAGCGAATCCGGCCGAGGGTTGGGACACGGAGGAAACGGCCGGGACCTGCTGGGCCGCCCCGCTCAGACCCGCCAGGAGAGCTGGGGAGGGAGAAAAATTCCTTGGGATTACAATAATTCCTGAGAAAATGGGGAAAAACTGGAAAAGTGGGGTTGGAAGACCCAAAAACCTGGAAAAATGGGAGTGGGAGATGAAAAAACCTGGAAAATTGGGGTTAAAGGACACAAAAACCTGGAAAGTTTGGATTGGGAGACCCAAAAATGTGGAAAATTGGGGTTGGAGGACACAAAAACGTGGAAAAATGGGGATGGGAGACACAAAAACGTGGAAAAATGGGGTTGGAAGACCCAAAAACCTGGAAAATTGGGGTTGGAGGACACGAAAACCTGGAAAATTTGGGTTGGAAAACCCCAAAACCTGGAAAATTTGGATTGGAGGACACAAAAAGCTGGAAAAATGGGGTTGGAAGGCCGAAAAACATGAAAATATGGGGTAGGAATACCCAAAAACCTGGAAAATTGGGGTTGGAGGACACAAAAACGTGGAAAAATGGGGTTGGGACAACCAAAAATGTGGAAAATTTGGGTTGGAGGACACAAAAACATGGAAAAATGGGGTTGGGAGATGAAAAAACCTGGAAAAATGGGGTTGGAAAACTCCAAAACCTGGAAAATTTGGATTGGAGGACACAAAAATGTGGAAAAATGGGGATGGGAGACAAAAAAAACCTGGAAAAATGGGGTTGGAAGACCCAAAAAACCTGGAAAATTGGGGTTGGAGGACACAAAAACGAGGAAAAATGGGGTTGGGAGATGAAAAAACCTGGAAAAATGGGGTTGGAAGACCCCAAAACCTGGAAAATTGGGGTTGGGAGACAAAAAAACCTGGAAAATTTGGATTGGAGGACACAAAAACCTGGAAAAATGGGGTTGGAAGAACCAAAAAACTTGAAAAATGGGGTTGAATAACCAAAAACCTGGAAAATTTGGATTGGAGGACACAAAAACGTGGAAAAATGGGGTTGGGAGACCCAAAAATCTGGAAAAATGGGGTTGGAAGACCCCAAAAACCTGGAAAATTTGGATTGGGAGACACAAAAAAATGGAAAATTTGGATTGGAGGACACAAAAACCTGGAAAAACGGCAATGGAAGACCCAAAAAACCTGGAAAATTGGGGTTGGAGGACACGAAAATGTGGAAAAATGGGAGTGGGAGACACAAAAACCTGGAAAATTGGGGTTGGGACATGAGAAAACCTGGAAAATTGGGGTTGGAAGAACCAAAAAACTTGAAAAATGGGGTTGGAAGACGAAAAAACCAGGAATATTTGGACTGGAGGAAACGAAAAACTGGAAAAATGGGGTTGGGAGACACAAAAAGCTGGAAAATTGGGGTTGGAAGAACCAAAAAACCTGGAAAATTGGAGTTGGAGGACACAGAAACATGGAAAAATGGGGGTGGGAGACGAAAAAACCTGGAAAAATGGGGTTGGAAGAACCAAAAAACCTGGAAAAATGGGGTTGGGAGACACAAAAACCTGGAAAAATGGGGGTGGGAGACGAGAAAAAATGGAAAAATGGGGGTGGGAGACCCAAAAACCTGGAAAATTTGGATTGGAGGACACAAAACCATGGAAAAATGGGGTTGGAAGATGAAAACACCTGGAAAAACGGGGATGGGAGACGAAAAAAACCTGGAAAATTTGGATTGGAGGACACAAAACCATGGAAAAATGGGAGTGGGAGATGAAAAAACCTGGAAAAATGGGGTTGGAAGAGCCAAAAAACCTGGAAAAATGGGGTTGGGAGACACAAAAACCTGGAAAATTGGGGTTGGAAGATGAAAACACCTGGAAAATTTGGGTTGGAGGACACAAAAACGAGGAAAAATGGGGGTGGGAGATCCAAAAACCTGGAAAATTCAGATTGGAGGACACAGAAACGAGGAAAAATGGGGATGGGAGACCCAAAAACGTGGAAAAATGGGGTTGGAAGATGAAAAAAACCTGGGAAATTTGGATTGGAGGACACAAAACCAGGAAAATTGGGGTTGGAAGACACAAAAATGTGGAAAAATGGGGTTGGGAGATGAAAAAACCTGGAAAAATGGGGTTGGAAGAACCAAAAAACCTGGAAAATTTGGATTGGAGGACACAAAAATGTGGAAAAATGGGGTTGGAAGAACCAAAAACCTGGAAAAATGGGGTTGGGAGATGAAAAAACCTGGAAAAATGGGGTTGGGAAATGAAAAAAAACTGGAAAATTTGGATTGGAGGACACAAAACCATGAAAAAATGGGAGTGGAAGACCCGAAAACGTGGAAAAATGGGGTTGGGGGACACAAAAACCTGGAAAAAAGGGGATGGAAGACCCAAAAACCTGGAAAATTGGGGTTAGAAGAACCAAAAAACTTGAAAAAATGGGGTTGGGAGACACAAAAACATGGAAAATTGGGGTTGGAGGACACAAAACCATGGAAAAATGGGGTTGGAAGACACAAAAACGTGGAAAAATGGGGTTGGGAGATGAAAAAAACCTGGAAAAACGGGGATGGAAGACCCAAAAAAATGGAAAATTTGGGTTGGAGGACACAAAAACAAGGAAAAATGGGGTTGGGAGACCCAAAAATATGGAAAATTTGGATTGGGAGACACGAAAACCTGGAAAATTGGGGTTGGAGGACACAAAAACGTGGAAAATTTGGATTGGAGGACACAAAAATGTGGGAAAAATTCCTTGGGATCACAAAAATTCCTGAGAAAATGGGGAAAAACTGGAAAATGGGGTTAGAAGGTGAAAATGGTGGAAAAACGGGGATGGAAGACCCAAAAAGCTGGAAAATTGGGGTTGGAAGAACCAAAAAACTTGAAAAATGGGGTTGGGAAATGAAAAAACCTGGAAAATTGGGGTTGGGAGACCCAAAAACCTGGAAAATTGGGGTTGGGAGACCCAAAAACCTGGAAAAATGGGATTGGGAAACACAAAAACATGGAAAAATGGGAGTGGGAGATGAAAAAACCTGGAAAATTGGAGTTGGAAGACCCAAAAACCTGGAAAATTTGGATTGGGAGACACAAAAACGTGGAAAAATGGGGTTGGGGGACAGAAAACCTGGAAAAATGAAGTTGGGAGATGAAAAAACCTGGAAAATTGGGGTTGGAAGAACGAAAAAACTTGAAAAATTTGGATTAGAGGACACAAAACCGTGGAAAAATGGGGGTGGGAGACCCAAAAATCTGGAAAATTTGGATTTGAAGACGAAAAAACCTGGAAAATTTGGGTTGGAAAACCCAAAAACCTGGAAAATTTGGATTGGGAGACACAAAACCTGGAAAATTTGGATTGGGAGACACAAAAACGTGGAAAATTTGGATTGGGATCCCTAAAAATGCACAAAAATCCTGAGAAAAGGGATTTGGAACCCCTAAAAGACACAAAAATTCCCGATTTTTTCCCAAATTCCAACTGTTTTTCCCAAATTCCAACTGTTTTTCCCAAATTCCAACTGTTTTACCCCAAATTCCAGATTTTTTCCCAAATTCCAGCTGATTTTATCCAAATCTGGCTCTTAGCTTCCCAAAATTTGGAGTTTTACACCCAAATTTGGGGGGTTTTTTTACCCAAATTCAGCTGTTTTGACCAAATTCCAGCTGTTTTTCCCAAATTCCAGCTGTTTTTACCAAATTCCAGCTGTTTCACCCCAAATCCAGCTGTTTGCTCCTAAAACCTGGATTTTAACCTGAATTCCCCCTCATTTTACCCCAAAATTTGACATTTTTCCCCCAAAATTTGACATTTTTTTTCCCCCATAATTTGACATTTTTTCCCCCAAAATTTGACATTTTTCTCCCAAAATTTGACATTTTTTCCCCCAAAATTTGACATTTTTTCCCTCAAAATTCATGGTTTTTCCCTAAAATTTGGATTTTTTTTTTCCCCCAAAATTTTGTGTTTTTTCCCAAAATCCCATTTTTTCACCCCAAAATCCCACCTACAGCTGAGCTGCCCCTTTCTTGTGGCTGTTTTTGCTGCTTTTACCCCAAAATTTGACATTTTTTCCCCCTAAATTAATGGTTTTTTCCTCAAAATTTTGCGGTTTTTTCCCAAAATTTTGTGGTTTTTCCCAAAATCCCATTTTTTCACCCCAAAATCCCACCTACAGCTGATCTGTCCATTTCTTGTGGCTGTTCTGCTTTTACCCCAAAATTTGACATTTTTTCCCCCAAAATTTGACATTTTTTCCCCCAAAACTCATGTTTTTTCCCCCAAATTTTGTGTTTTTCCCAAAATCCCATTTTTTCACCCCAAAATCCCACCTGCAGCCCGGGCTGCTCCTTTTTTGTGGCTGTTTTTGGCCAGGGGCAGCAGCAGCTCCTGTCGCTTTTACCCCAAAATTTCACATTTTTTCCCCCAATTCATGTTTTTTCCCAAAATTTTGCGGTTTTTTTCCCAAAATTTCGGGTTTTTTCCCAAAATCCCATTTTTTCACCCCAAAATCCCACCTACAGCTGATCTGCCCCTTTCTTGAGGCTGTTCTGCTTTTACCCCAAAATTTGACATTTTTTCCCTCAAAATTCATGCTTTTTCCCCAAAATTTTGCGGTTTTTTCCCAAAATTTTGGGTTTTTTTCCCAAAATCCCATTTTTTCACCCCAAAACCCCACCTGCAGCTGATCTGCCCCTTTCTTGTGGCTGTTCTTGCCCAGGGGCAGCAGCAACTTTTACCCCAAAATTTGACATTTTTCCCCCCAAAATTCATGGTTTTTTCCCAAAATTTTGCGGTTTTTTCCCAAAATTTTGGGTTTTTTTCCCAAAATCCTGTTTTTTCACCCCAAAATCCCACCTACAGCTGATCTGCCCCTTTCTTGTGGCTGTTCTGCTTTTACCCCAAAATTTGACATTTTTTCCCTCAAAATTCGACATTTTTTCCCCAAAATTTTGGGGTTTTTTCCCAAAATTTTGGTTTTTTTCCCAAAATCCCATTTTTTCACCCCAAAATCCCACCTGCAGCTGATCTGCCCCTTTCTTGTGGCTGTTCTGCTTTCACCCCAAAATTTGACATTTTTTTCCCCCAAAATTAATGGTTTTTTGCCCAAAATTTTGGGGTTTTTTCCCAAAATTTTGGGTTTTTTCCCAAAATCCCATTTTTTCACCCCAAAATCCCACCTACAGCTGAGCTGCCCCTTTCTTGTGGCTGTTCTGCTTTTACCCCAAAATTTGACATTTTTTCCCCCAAAATTCACGTTTTTTCCCCCAAATTTTGCGTTTTTTCCCCAAAATTTTGGGTTTTTTTCCCAAAATCCCATTTTTTCACCCCAAAATCCCACCTGCAGCTGATCTGCCCCTTTCTAGTGGCTGTTCTTGCCCAGGGGCAGCAGCAACTTTTACCCCAAAATTTGACATTTTTTCCCCCAAAATTCATGTTTTTTCCCCAAAATTTTGCGGGTTTTTTCCGAAAATCCCATTTTTTCACCCCAAAATCCCACCTGCAGCTGATCTGCCCCTTTTTTGTGGCTGTTTTTGCTGCTTTTACCCCAAAATTTGACATTTTTTCCCCCAAAATTAATGGTTTTTTCCCAAAATTTTGCGTTTTTTTCCCAAAATTTTGGTTTTTTTCCCAAAATCCCATTTTTTCACCCCAAAATCCCACCTGCAGCTGATCTGCCCCTTTCTTGTGGCTGTTTTTGGCCAGGGGCAGCAGCAGCTCCTGCTGCTTTTACCACAAAATTCATGTTTTTTCCCCAAAATTTTGCGTTTTTTTCCCAAAATTTCGGGGTTTTTTTCCCAAAATCCCATTTTTTCACCCCAAAATCCCACCTACAGCTGATCTGCCCCTTTTTTGTGGCTGTTTTTGGCCAGGGGCAGCAGCAGCTCCTGCTGCTTTTACCACAAAATTAATGGGTTTTTTTGCCCAAAATTTTGTGTTTTTTTCCCAAAATTTCGGGGTTTTTTCCCAAAATCCCATTTTTTCACCCCAAAATCCCACCTGCAGCCCGGGCTGCCCCTTTTTTGTGGCTGTTTTTGGCCAGGGGCAGCAGCAGCTCCTGTTCCTCGGGCGGCATCTGAGCCACTTTCTGCAGGAAAAGCTTCTCCAGCGTCTGCGCCATCAGCACGATGTCGTCTGTGGGCTAAAAAATGGGGAAAAATCATTAAAAAACGGGAAAAAATGGGAATTATCCATGGGAAAACACGGGAAAAGTGTCTGGGAATTTTTGGGAATTTTTTGGAATTTTTTGGAATTTTTTTGAATTTTTTTAGAATTTTTTTCTGATTTTTTTCTGATTTTTTTTCAATTTTTTTCAGAATTTTTTCTGGATTTTTTTCTCAGTTTCTGGGATTTTTTCTTAATTTTTAGGGTTTTTTGGGAATTTTTAAATTATTTTGAGAATTTTTTCTCTATTTTTTTCTCACATTTTTGGATATCAAAAATTTTTCTTTTAGATTTTTTTGACTTCTGCGCCACGATGTCATCCGTGGGCTAAAAAATGGGGAAAAATCATTAAAAAATGGGAAAAAACGGGAATTATCCATGGGAAAATACGGGAAAAGTGTCTGGGAAATTTTGGGAATTTTTTTGGAATTTTTTAGAATTTTTTTCTGGTTTTTTTCTGAATTTTTTACTGAATTTTTTTCGATTTTTTTCAGAATTTTTCTGGATTTTTTTCTCAGTTTCTTGGATTTTTAATAGGATTTTTTTCTTAATTTTCAGGGTTTTTGGGAATTTTTAAATTATTTGGGGAATTTTTTCTCAATTTTTTTATCACTTTTTTGGATATCAAAAAATTTTTCTTTTAGATTTTTTTGACTTCTGTGCCATCAGCACGATGTCATCCGTGGGCTAAAAAATGGGGAAAAATCGTAAAAAAATGGGAAAAAATGGGAATTATCCATGTTGAAATATGGGTAAAGTGACTGGGGATTTTTGGGAATTTTTTGGAATTTTTTAGAATTTTTTTCTGAATTTTTTCTGATTTTTTTCTGATTTTTTTCTGATTTTTTTTCGATTTTTTTCAGATTTTTTTCTGGATTTTTTCTAAGTTTCTTGGATTTTTTCTTAATTTTTACGTTTTTTTGGAAATTTTTTAATTATTTTGGGAATTTTTTCTCAATTTTTTTCTCACTTTTTTGGATATCAAAAAATTTTTCTTTTAGATTTTTTTGACTTCTGCGCCATCAGCACGATGTCATCCGTGGGCTAAAAAATGGGGAAAAATCGTCAAAAAATGGGAAAAAATGGGAATTATCAATGTTGAAATATGGGTAAAGTGACTGGGAATTTTTGGGAATTTTTTGGAATTTTTTTGGATTTTTTTCTGATTTTTTTCTGATTTTTTTCTGATTTTTTTCTGATTTTTTTTTGATTTTTCACTTTTTTTTCTGGATTTTTTTCTAATTTTCTTGGATTTTTAATAGGATTTTTTCTTAATTTTTAGGGTTTTTTGGGAATTTTTAATTATTTTGGGAATTTTTTCTCAATTTTTTTTCTCAATTTTTTTCTCACGTTTTTGGATATCAAAAATTTTACTTTGATATTTCTTTTTTTGACTTCTGCGCCACGATGTCATCCGTGGGCTAAAAAAATGGGGAAAAATCGTAAAAAAATGGGAAAAAATGGGAATTATCCATGGGAAAATACGGGAAAAGTGTCTGGGAAATTTTGGGAATTTTTTGGAATTTTTTTGGATTTTTTTCTGATTTTTTTCTGATTTTTTTCTGATTTTTTTTCGATTTTTTTCACTTTTTTTTCTGGATTTTTTTCTAATTTTCTTGGATTTTTAATAGGATTTTTTCTTAATTTTTAGGGTTTTTTGGGAATTTTTAAATTATTTTGAGAATTTTTTCTCTATTTTTTTCTCACTTTTTTGGATATCAAAAAAATTTTTCTTTTAGATTTCTTTTTTTGACTTCTGCGCCACGATGTCGTCCGTGGGCTAAAAAATGGGGAAAAATCGTAAAAAAATGGGAAAAACTGGGAATTATCAATGTTGAAATATGGGTAAAATGACTGGGAATTTTTGGGAATTTTTTGGCATTTTTTCTGATTTTTTTCTGATTTTTTTCTAATTTTTTACTGAATTTTCTTTCAATTTTTTCAGATTTTTTTTCTGGATTTTTTTCTCAGTTTCTTGGATTTTTAATGGGATTTTTTCTTAATTTTTAGGGGTTTTTTTGGGATTTTTTAAGAATTATTTGGGGAATTTTTTCTCAATTTTTTTCTCACTTTTTTGCATATCAAAAATTTTTCTTTTAGATTTTTTTGACTTCTGTGCCATCAGCACGATGTCATCCGTGGGCTGAAAAATGGGGAAAAATCATTAAAAAATGGGAAAAAATGAGAATTATCAATGTTGAAATATGGGTAAAGTGACTGGGAATTTTTGGGAATTTTTTGGAATTTTTTAGAATTTTTTTCTGATTTTTTAACTGAATTTTTTACTGAATTTTTTTCAATATTTTCAGATTTTTTTCTGGATTTTTTCTCAGATTCTTGGATTTTTAATAGGATTTTTTCTTAATTTTTAGGGATTTTTGGGAATTTTTTAATTATTTGGGGAATTTTTTCTCAATTTTTTTATCACTTTTTTGCATATCAAAAATTTTACTTTGATATTTCTTTTTTTGACTTCTGCGCCACGATGTCGTCCGTGGGCTAAAAAAATGGGGGAAAATAATAAAAAAATGGGAAAAAATGGGAATTATCCATGGGAAAACACGGGAAAAGTGTCTGGGAATTTTTGGGAATTTTTGGGGAATTTTTTCTGATTTTTTTCTGATTTTTTTCTGATTTTTTTCAGATTTTTTCTGGATTTTTTTCTCAGTTTCTTGGATTTTTAATGGGATTTTTTCTTAATTTTTAGGGTTTTTTTGCGAATTTTTAAATTATTTTGGGAATTTTTTCTCTTTTTTTTTTTCTCAATTTTTTCTCACTTTTTGGATATCAAAAAGTTTTCTTTTACACTTTTTTGACTTCTGGGCCATCAGCACGATGTCATCCATGAACTAAAAAATGGGGGAAAATTGTAAAAAAATGGGAAAAAATGGGAATTATCCATGGGAAAATACGGGAAAAGTGTCTGAGAAATTTTGGGAATTTTTTGGAATTTTTTTGGATTTTTTTCTGATTTTTTTCTGGTTTTTTTCTGATTTTTTACTGAATTTTTTTCGATTTTTTTCAGAATTTTTCTGGATTTTTTTCTCAGTTTCTTGGATTTTTAATGGGATTTTTTCTTAATTTTTAGGGGTTTTTTGGGAATTTTTTAATTATTTTGGGAATTTTTTTCTCAATTTTTTTTCCTCAAATTTTTCTCACATTTTTGAATATCAAAAATTTTTCTTTTAGATTTCTTTTTTTGACTTCTGCGCCACGATGTCATCCGTGGGCTAAAAAAATGGGGGAAAATCGTAAAAAAATGGGAAAAAATTGGAATTATCAATGTTGAAATATGGGTAAAATGACTGGGAATTTTTCGGAATTTTTTGGAATTTTTTCTGTTTTTTTTCTGATTTTTTTACTGATTTTTTTCTGATTTTTTACTGACTTTTTTTGATTTTTTTCAGATTTTTTTCTGGATTTTTTTCTCAGTTTCTTGGATTTTTAATGGGATTTTTTCTTAATTTTTAGGGGTTTTTTTGGGATTTTTAAAATTATTTTGGGAATTTTTTTTCAATTTTTTTCTCACATTTTTGGATATCAAAAATTTTTCTTTTATATTTCTTTTTTTGACTTCTGCGCCACGATGTAATCCGTGGGCTAAAAAAATGGGGGAAAATCGTAAAAAAATGGGAAAAAATGGGAATTATCCATGTTGAAATATGGGTAAAGTGACTGGGGATTTTTGGGAATTTTTTGGAATTTTTTAGAATTTTTTTCTGAATTTTTTCTGATTTTTTTCTGATTTTTTTCTGATTTTTTTTCGATTTTTTTCAGATTTTTTTCTGGATTTTTTCTAAGTTTCTTGGATTTTTTCTTAATTTTTACGTTTTTTTGGAAATTTTTTAATTATTTTGGGAATTTTTTCTCAATTTTTTTCTCACTTTTTTGGATATCAAAAAATTTTTCTTTTAGATTTTTTTGACTTCTGCGCCATCAGCACGATGTCATCCGTGGGCTAAAAAAATGGGGAAAAATCGTAAAAAAATGGAAAAAATGGGAATTATCAATGTTGAAATATGGGTAAAGTGACTGGGAATTTTTGGGAATTTTTTTGAATTTTTTTGAATTTTTTGGAATTTTTTTTCTGATTTTTTTCTAGTTTTTTACTGAATTTTTTTCAATTTTTTCAGAATTTTTTCTGGATTTTTTTTCTCAGTTTCTTGGATTATTAATGGGATTTTTTCTTAATTTTTAGGGTTTTTTGGGAATTTTTTAATTATTTTGGGAATTTTTTTCTCAATTTTTTTCTCACGTTTTTGGATATCAAAAATTTTACTTTGATATTTCTTTTTTTGACTTCTGCGCCACGATGTCATCCGTGGGCTAAAAAAATGGGGGAAAATCGTAAAAAATGGGAAAAAATGGGAATTATCAATGTTGAAATATGGGTAAAGTGCCTGGGAATTTTTGGGAATTTTTTGGAAATTTTTTGGAATTTTTTTCTGAATTTTTTTCTGATTTTTTTTTAATTTTTTTCAGATTTTTTTCTGGATTTTTTCTCAATTTCTTGGATTTTTAATAGGATTTTTTCTTAATTTTTAGGGTTTTTTTTGGAATTTTTAAAAATTACTTTGGGAATTTTTTCTCAATTTTTTTTCTCAATTTTTTCTCACATTTTTGGATATAAAAAAATTTTTCTCTTAGATTTTTTTGACTTCTGCGCCATCAGCACGATGTCGTCCGTGGGCTAAAAAAATGGGGAAAAATCATTAAAAAATGGGAAAAAATGGGAATTATCCATGGGAAAACACGGGAAAAGTGTCTGGGAAATTTTGGGAATTTTTGGGAATTTTTTGGAATTTTTTTAGAATTTTTTTCTGATTTTTTTCTGATTTTTTTTCGATTTTTTTCAGATTTTTTCTGGATTTTTTTCTCAGTTTTTTGGATTTTTAATAGGATTTTTTTCTTAATTTTTAGGGTTTTTTGGGAAATTTTTAATTATTTTGGGAATTTTTTTCTCAATTTTTTTCTCAC